GATCAAACGCAAGCCCCTTGCCAAGAACTACCGACGCGCCTATATAACCGGCGCGCGTCTTCGAGTGTCGAAAGTTCGGTCGAGGCATCGCCTCCCCCTCCCCCCCTTCGCGTATTTGCCGGACGACGGCGAGGATATGCGAGGATAACTCGATCGCGAGCGAAACGAACGCGGAGGATGGGGAAAAAGAAAGGAAAAAAAGGAAAAAGAAACAGGGTGGAAAAAGAAAAAATTTATCGCCGAATCTTCCCTGTCTATCAGCTTCACGCTGCGGTAGCATTGTATTTCATTAGCGTTGTGACGAATAATGGGGGAGCGGGGGGAGGAAAGGGGGGGAAAAATCGTTCTGCTAGTTTAATTCGAACGAATATAAAAGAGATTCGTTCGTTCATTTCCTTGTTTTCCTGCCTACCTTCATTTCTTTTTTTTTTTTTTCCTCGTCCTGTTTTCTATTTTCGCATTTTACATCTCGTTTCTCTCTCTCTCTCTCTCTTTCTCTCTTTATACGCTCTTTATACGCCTTTATACGCTTTTGTATACCATATCGAATCGATAATCGAACGTTGAAAAAAAAATCATCGCGCGATCGAACGATCGAATCAAAAGATGTACGTGTACGAGAAGGGAAGAAGGAATTTGACACTTCTGGAGTGGAAAATAGTTTCCTTTGGAAAATATCGAATAATATCAAGATAGAAATTATTATATCGTCGATAATCTAAATTAATCTCGATGTAATTCATTAAGCACCGGAATCGTAACGATAGCGGGTGGACGACGACGGAGGCGGTAGTTAAACGCGTTAATATCGCGTAACAGGGAAATGATATCGATGCTAATGACAAAGAAGGTAACGAACGAGGGAGGCGGGGAGGGGTATATATTAAATCAATGTTAAAAGGCATCGGGGAATTACGACGAATGAATGAATATCTGCTTCCTTTCATCGTGAAAAAAAAAAAAAATGATGGTAGCCAAGGGGTATAAAATCGTTTATCTATGCATCGTGTCGTAGTCCGGCTTATTGGAGCGTGTAAAAACAACGAGATAATACGAGCCTCAAATTGGCCCGCGTCCTTTCTTTTTAAGGAAAGAGGGGGAAGGGGACGGGAGGGTGGAAGGAGGGAGGGAG